TAGTTAAGTTTTATTTCTAGTAAAATAATTGTAGGATTTTATATTCTAAATATAAGTATAAATTGATGAGCCATAAATGTCAAGATGTACTGATGGAATTATTTTGCCTCTTGAAACCAAAACATTTTATTATATATATATATTGGACTTTTTTATTATATATATATATATATATATATATATATATATATATATATATTGGATTTTTTTTTTAATGTAACTTTTGTTTCAGGTTTACTTAAGTTTAAATGTTTTGTATTCTTAGTTCTAGTTAACCCTGTATTCAGCTCTGGGAAGAGGGGGGGAGGGTTTTTGGGAGGTAGGGAGGTAGTGGGAGAGGGATTTTATTGTAAAATTGCAAAAACTTTTAATAAAAAAAAGAAACCAAAACATTTGGAGCACTATTATGAAAGATAAAGGAATATATTAAAAATATTATTTTAAGTATTTTCATTATAAACCCAAGCATGTTGTTTAACAAATTAAAGCAAGCAGAATAGAATAGAATAGAATAGAATAGAATAGAATAGAATAGAATAGAAAAGAGGAGGAGAAGAGGAAGGGGGGAAGGAAAGGAAAGGAAAAATCAAAAGGCATTTGCAATGAAAGAGAATATATGTAGCTCATGAATGAATTAGATAATGAAGTATCTGCAAGCAAGTAACCAAGTTCAGAAAAGGTATTTTTAAAGAAAAACTGTGAATCCAACTTTAAGGACTGGCACTCAGTATCTGGATCTTCATTCTACCAAAAACTTTGTTTGATGCTCCCTTAACCTCTTGATTTCTTAGACAATAAATGAATGGATTCAGCAGTGGGGTGATAATGGTGTATACAACAGAAATTATATTGTTAAAATCAAATGGGTGCATTCTCTTCGGTCGAGCATTTATGAAGAGAATTGCTAAGAAGAAGATGACAACCACATTGAGGTGAGCAGCACAAGTGGAGAAGGCTTTCTTCTGGCCCTGGATAGAGCAAACAGTCAATATAATACAAATAATGCAGACATACGAAACAATAGTAACTGAGAGTAGAAATAACAAAATGATCGAGGCCAAGACAAAGTCCACTATTTCATCAACTGTCATATCTTCACATGCCATATTTAACAATGGTGAATTATCATAGAAGAAATGGTTGATGATATTAGGACCACAAAAGGGAAGCTGTGATATGAAGATGACTTTTAACATTGAGACCAAGAAACCAATTAGCCATGAACCCATAGCTAATATCATACAGAGGTGGTGAGTCATGATGGTTAGATGGCGAAGAGGATTACAGATAGCTACATATTAGTCAAATGCCATTATTGCAAAGAGGACACACTCAGTACATATAAGGGAGCTGAAAAAGTAGAGGTGTGTCATGCACACTTCAAATGAGATGAATGTGTTTTGCACAAGGAGATTAATTAATAACTTTGGGACAATAACACAGATATACCATGCCTCTGAAAAGACAGGTGGGCTGAGAAAAAAAATACATAGGTTTGTTAATCTGAGGACTGTGATTTTGATCACAATGATGATAACAATATTCTCAAAAAGAGTCAGATTGTAGGCCACAAGGAAACTCACAAATAAAAATGTTTGTAGTTTCATGCTGATTGGAAATCCAAGCAAAATGAATCCTTGGATATTACTCTTTTTCTGGTGATCCAATTTCTATAGTAATAAAACCTAGTTCAGACATAAGGAGAGAAACAAATTGCAATGAAAAAAAAAGAGAAGAAGAATTAGAAGAATGAACATTTCTGAAACAAATGATAAAATAGATATTAATCTACATTAATATGTTAATCTACCTAGCAGACAACCTAGCAGGCAAATTACTTGAACTAACTTTCTATCTTTAGTTATTTAATTTAGTCAATATTTATATGATTTATTCTTGTGTTACAGCATTGTGTGAGGTGAATTTTCCAAAACTTTAGCTAAATAGTAAAAAAAAAAATATGGCTGTAAAAGGAGACAAGAGATAATATTGTTTTATAGTTTCTAATATGATTTCTAACAAATGAAAGAATATAGACATTTATTTCTTTCAATTATACGGATAGAAAATTTGAAATTTTAGGTCTTGAAATCCTTGTTACTGAGAATCATATAGTACTGTCTTCATTGGCTGAAACTGCATTTTGAAGTAAATTTATCAATAAATTTATTTGCCAAACTTAGATATCCTTTCCAAATATCAGCATGACTTTGAAAAGATATATATTAACAAGTTGATTTTATATATTAGTACAGGGATGGCGAACCTTTTAGAGACTGAGTGCCCAAATTGCAACCCAAAACCAACTTATGTATCATTGAGTGCCGGGTGGGCGTGGCCCATTGGATGGGTATGGCCCATTGGGTGGGTATGGCCATTGGGTGGTGTGGCTGTGGTGGTAATGGCAGACTGGGTGGGACTAAAAAGTTAAATCAATCAATTCCAACTTTGCAAGATCTTTTTTTCCCATGAGAAGTTGAAATTGATTGATTGAACCTTTTTTTTTTTTTTTGCACACGGCGGTGGAGGCCTAAAGTGAAAAGGTTTTATAATACCCAGCTGAAGACCTAGGACTGGGGCGATCGTGCACGTGCCCACAGAGAGGGCTCTGCGTGCCACTTGTGGAACACGTACCATAGGTTCGCCATCACAGTATTAGTATAACACTGGGAAAAAGGAGAAGTAGGGATAATACAATTAACATTAAATGGGTCTGTTCTACTAAATAATTATAATTAACATAACTTTAATTTCTTTCCATTTTTATCAGAGGGTTTGAAAAGTTTGGAGATTTTTTTGTGTGCATTTCTCTCTCTCTTTCCCTCTCTCTCTCTTTCATTCTTAGAAAAACTGTTTTAAATCTGTTCAAGTTCTTAAATTGCAGTGAAAATTATGGGAAGTTGTAGTACTGAAATTCAGTAATTATGCTGCTGAAATTCATGATTATGATTAAAATGGCATTCATTAAGTTTGGGATCCCATATACTGTATCTACCATTGCAGGCAGAGAATTCAGGGTTTAGTTATTGAAAAAATAACCAATATCACAACCTTCTCACAACCAATATTTCTATCATGGCAGCCTATGGCAGCCCATGGACATTGATAATGAGGATATTTCAGAAATTGGCATTAAAAATATAATAATAGGAAATATAATATAATAATATTCATATCCTATATCAAGTACATTTACATCATGTGCAGGTAGACCTCAAAGTCTCTTGACACAGATTGACAAGGTTATATTGAGATTCTGAAGGCTGGTAAAATTTAGATTATCCTTTACTTTCTTGGCTGCTGCCAAAAAGGAAAGAGGGGGGGGGAAGCGGAAGCTCTGCCTCTCTCTCTCTCTCTCTGTCTTTCTGTCTCTTTCTCTTTCTCTCTCTCTCTCTCTCACACACACACACACACATACACACACACACACACACAAACAAACACCCTGAGTGGGGGGAAGAGGACTGGCAGACTAAGGACAGAAAGAGAGAGGGGGGAGGGAGGGGTAGAGAGAGAGAGAGAAAGAGAGAGAGGAGGAAAGAGAAAGAGAGGGAGAGGAAAGAGAGGAGAGGAAAGAGAGAGAGAGGAGAGAGGAAGTGGGAGACGAAGAGGAAAGAGAGAAAGAGAAGAAGAGAGGAAAGAGAAAGAGAGGGGGAGAGAAGAGAGAGAGAAAGAGGGAAGGAGGGAGAGGAAAGGGAGGGAGGGTGAGGAAAGAGAAAGGGAAAGAGGAAAGAGAGAGAGAGAGAGAGAGAGAGAGAGAGAATATGAATATATGTTGTCCTTACTGGACTTTTAGTAAAGAACGTTTAATTAAATATTTTGATTTTTTTAATTAAGAAATGAGGTATGGGGATAAATTATGCTATATTTAAAGATGGTAGATAAGCTACTAAAATTGTTTTCACCTGTTGGGATGAAGGAGAAAGGTTTTTTCCCCCCTCTTTTTCCTGCATAAAAATTATTTTCTTTGTAACAGTTCATTGATTTCATAAATCCAACACGCTATAGTTTTTTTAGTAATAGTAATAGTAGTAAAGTTGGAAGGGACCTTGGAGGTCATCTAGTCCAACCCCCTGCTCAGGCAGGAACCCTACACCATTTCAGACAAATGGCTGTCCAGTCTCTTCTTAAAAACTTCCAGTGTTGGAGCATTTACTGCTTCTGGAGGCAGGCTGTTCCACTGATTAATTGTTCCCACTGTCAGGAAGTTTCTCCTTAGTTCTAGGTTGCTTCTATCCTTGATCAGTTTCCACCCGTTGCTTCTTGTCCTGCCTTCAGGTGCTTTGGAAAATAGCTTGATTCCCTCTTCTTTATGGCAGCCCCTGAGATATTGGAATACTGCTATCATGTCCCCCCTTGTCCTTCTCTTTGTTAAACTAGACATACCCAATTCTAGCAACAGTTCCTTATATGTTTTAGCCTCCAGTCCCCTAATCATCTTTGTTGCTCTTCTCTGTACTCTTTCTAGAGTCTCAACATACATAGCATAAAGGTAAAAAAAAAGGATATATGCAGTGTTATCTTCATTTTAGATGTCAAAAGGGTTTTGTGGCTCCCAGTGTTTTCTTTTCTGTGAGAAACGGGTCCAAATGGCTCTTTGAGTGTTTAAGGTTGCCGACCCCTGTCCTAGGATGAACTGAAAATGTTCAGGACAGATCCACCAACCTGCCTGAATTATGTAAAGACTCATCTGGTCTGATTCTTCTTTTAATTATATGGGAGCTGCAAGTTAGCAAAAGTGCCCCTGCAAAATCAGAATCAAGGGTTATAGTGTTATTTTGTGCTTTCTGAAAGTGCAGCTTACATACTTTTGAGAGCTATCTATTTTGTTTTCATCTATAATCATTTAATGTGTTTTTAATGATTAGTAGATAAAATGGTTTGTGCCTCTGAAAATTTCTAAGGTGGTCTGATATATTAAGTAGAACTAAAGGCATAGATGTGATAAAATCTATTTTTTCCACTCACGTTTAAAGAGAAATTATGGGCTTTGAGTTTTATTTATTTATCTATCAAATTTATTATTCTTATTACAAATAAATTAATATGGAAAACATATCCAACATTGTTCTTTCATGTTCTTCATAACAAAAATCCTGTGAAGAGAGTTGGGCTGAGACAATGACTGGTCTAAGGTAAAGTTTCATGGGACTAATGAACACTGAATGTAAAATATGTAGCATCATGTTGCTTGTCTATGATTTTTAGACATGGATGAATTTAAATGGTTATTTTAAAAATGTCATGATGATAGCTATGATCGTGTAATGAAAAATCTCCACCCCTTTTTCATGTGCAGTGCTTTTTTTCTAAAAAAAAAAAAAAAAAAGATGCTGGAACTCACACACATCATACAACCTGCCTTGCCCACCCTATAAGGTTCCATCCCAAAAAGGTGCCAGAACTCCGTTCTGGGCATTCTATGAGAAAAAAAGCCCTGTTAATGTGCATTGCATTACAGTATTTTGACTTTTTAAAGTCACTCTAAAGACATCTAGTCCAAGATTTGCTTTAACAAGGCAATACTATATCTTTTCTGAAGAAAAATGTAGTGGACAATTTTTATCCTATCTCATTATTGTGAAGATATTTGGATTGCAGTTTCAATGGGCTCTGAAAGAAGTAAATTATTGTGACTTTTGAGCAGGGTTTCTAACTTAGAAATAGTACAAAGATAACATTGATTATATTTGATGATGATCTCTAGTCTAGAAGGAGATGGAAGAGGATTGATATATTTATTCTGGCCCTCCTTAATCTCTCAGTAATGTTGAAGCCATCAGCCATAGAATTCTGAAGTTGAACTATAATCATTCTAGTAACCCTACTAACCCTGTCAGTCCAGCTTAAGCCCCTGTTGAAAGACCCTGGTTTTACAGAAAGCCAACAAGTCAGAGCCATAAAAGAACACAAATCATTTGGAATAAAGCTTCACAATTGATTAAGAAGTCAGGCACACACACTTGAAATCCTTTTAAAATAATAGACTACTTTGTTATTCTACTATTGTAGAAACCATACAATAGATATGAGGTAGAAACTCAGAATAGACAGGATCAAATAGGGGTAGGGAGGAAGGATTCAAACAATGATGTCCTACATATCCAAATCTAGATCAGATCATCTCAGAAGCATCCAAAGTAAGCCATGATAATAGAAAAATGTTCTTGAGGAAGCAATAACACCAAAGCATGTTTTCACTTCCATATTAGATGAGGATTGGAAAGAGATGGCTTCTGACAGCAACTTTTTGTCTGTATTATTTTTTAAAAGAAAAAGATATGAAAAGATATAAAATATGGAAAATATTGGACAGCATGAATAACATGTGAAAACCCAACCCAGTTGTATGTGTGTATATAGTTTATAGTCTAGACAATTACTAATATGAACAAATGTGCGATATGAATGGATTCTTAGAATTCTGTCTAAGTGTATAAGACTGCAGTGAAAACAATTCTTTTCTTTTTTCATTTACTAAAATAGGAAGAGAAAGATCTTTAGGCACAAAGAACTAAAGTTTCTTACCTTGTTTCATCCCTATTCCCATCCTATTTCACTAAATATATAGAAATACATCACTAAAACTAGAATTTGTTAACATCATATAACCCGACATCTGTCTTAATTTTGAAATTGGAATTATTGTTTAAAATGAAAATAATTGTGTATTATTAAATTTAGATCACTTGTTATGTTTACTTAAATGCAATCGGTATAATTATGGTGACTTGTTCCCAGCATTTCTAAATTTCTCATCTCTTTCTACATGTTCTTATTTCTTTATTTTTATATGATTTAACACTGACTGTTATTGATATGCAGTCCCACAAAAGACATTTGTCAGTGAAATCCAATTTTTCTTATATGAATTTTCAATGTTTTTGTCTACTAAGTATGTTGTGAAATACACATATGAAAAAAAATGAAAAGTTATTATTTTTGCTTGCTGAAATAAATCCATTAGTCACTAATCATGTTCTCAAGACTGAAGTTGCAAAATATTTTTTTCAGTGCTTCCTTGACATCCTGATTCCTTAAACAATAAATGCATGGATTCAGCATGGGAGTAACAATAGTGTACACAACTGACACAAGCTTATTGATGTTGAAAGAATGGATTCTCCTTGGTCTTGCATAGATGAAGAGTGAAGCTGAGTAGAAGATAGTAACCACTGTGAGGTGGGAGGTACAAGTAGAAAAAGCTTTTCTTTTTCCTTGGCTTGTAGGGATATTTAAAATGGTGCCTATGATAAATGCATAGGAGCCCATTGTGACAGAGAGTGGAATTAAAAGGATAAGAAGAGCAAATACAAAGTCAACAATTTCAACCACAGTTCGGTCAGTGCAGGAGAGATTGAGCAAAGGGGAGATGTCACAGAAGAAGTGGTTGATGACATTGGGCCCACAAAAACTCAAATGTGAAATGAAAAAAACTTTGAGCATAGAAATTAGGAAACCAGTGAACCAAGAACTCACTGCTAGCTGCAAGCAAAGCTGAGATGTCATTATAACAGGATAGCGTAGTGGGTGGCAGATGGCAACATAACGATCATAAGCCATAACAGCCAGCAGGACACATTCAGTGCAGGCTAGGGATATGAAAAAATACAGCTGAGCCATGCAGCCTGCATAGGAAATGCTTTTATCTGTTGCTAAGAAGTTAATCAGGAGCTTTGGAACAGTCACAGAAATATACCAAGTCTCAAGGAAAGACAAGTGACTGAGGACGAGATACATGGGTTTTTGGAGGTGACTATTTGTCCTGATGAGGATGATGATCATAGTGTTCTCCACAAGAGTGAGGATGTAGATACAAAGAAATACTACAAATAGTAGTCTCTGAAGTTCTAGAACACTGGGAAAACCCAGAAGGATAAACATCTGGACCCTGGTTTGGTTGTTCACTTCCATGCCTTATACACCAATCTGCAAGATCAAAGGATAACAGAAACATGATAAATTTACAAGATAAATGAAAAAAAACATTTTAGGAAGAGAGCTTTCTAGATATATGGTGGGGAAAATTCAGGATATGTGAAAGGATGAATGGAAATGTCAATAAATGAAGCAAAAGTTTCTTGTAGTTCTTCATCTCTGAGTTTGCTAAATATTCAAAATTTGGATAATGCAGTTTCTGAATTCCTGAAAAGGCAATGTTATACACAATTAAAAAATAATCAATATATAAATTATACAATCAGAAATAATAATTATAATTAAGGAGTCAGTTACACTTTTAAATGTGAGGGTATCCTACACTGCCTGCCCAATCTGGTACAGCCTGTGTGCTACAGTTGTAGCTGCCAAATCTATTGATATTTTTTTCATCTTTTTATTGAAAACATGCTAATTATAAAATAAATACAGCATTTCTTTTGGTTTCTGTCATTTATATTGTTTTTTTTTTAAAAAAAATGGAAAATCCAGTGTGAAACATACATATGCACATACACACAAACAAATAAATTGGGCTTGTCTGTTAGAATGCTTGTGGTCAATTATTTACATTTTTATTCAGGTTTTTATATAACTACTTTTTCTCACTCTATCCTACTTCTATAATTACAATTCTGGATTCTTTGGATTAGTTACATAGAAAATATTACATATTTTGTGACTGCATTGAATTGTAGAATATTTGACAAACATAAGGCAGGCAAGCAGGCGGGTGGGAGGGAGGGAGAGATTTTTTTTTTTTTACTTGAACACTTAATGAACTTCAGGAAAAAATATGAATGCTGTTGTATGTGTATATCTTTTTCATGTTTCTATAGATATATCATGTCTGAATAACCAAGCTGAGTACTATGCAAAATAAAAGTTAAAGTTATAACATTAAATTAAAAAATAGTAATAATTATGTAAAAAACAAAAATAATTAAGAAAGAAGAAAATGCACATACACATACACACAAATGAATTAGGCTTGTCTGTAAAATGCTTGTGGTCAATTATTTACGTTTTTATTTGGGTTTTTGAATAGCCACTTTTTCTCACTCTATCCTACTTCTACAATTACAATTCTGGACTCTTTGGATTAGTAATATAGAAAATATTACATATTTTGTGGCTGTGTTGGATTCTTTATGGTAGATCATTTGACAAACAGAAGGCAGGCAGGCAGGCAGGAAAGAAGGAAGGAAGGAAGGAAGGAAGGAAGGAGGGATTTTTTTACATGAACACTTAATGAACTTCAGGAAAAAAATATGAATGATGTTGTATGTGTATATCCTTTTCATGTATCTATTGCTATATCATTTCTGAATAACCAAGTTGAATACTATGCAAAATAAAAGTTAAAGTTATAACATTAAATTTTAAAAAAATAGTAATAATTAAGAAATAATTAAGAAAGAAGAAAATACAAAGATTTAAATTAAATTTAAATCATTAGAATAATAAAAATCAATTAAATTCTAACAGGCAGATATTATATTCTGCTATGTCAAAATTACAGTGAAAACATGTTGAAATGAATCTTACCTGCTTTTCATTCATTTGCATTACATATTTAAGATTAACTAATAAAATGATATATCTTGTTCCCAATCAAATAAACAAAATATAAATCAGGAGGAAAAGTAAATATGCAATATCTAAAATATAATTTATTAGATTCCCATGAATACTATAAAGTGACTTAAGGAAATAAAAATGTGTATATTAACCATATGAAGAGGAGATGAATTCAGGGAATACCCCTTCCCTAGAATTTATTTAAAAAAATATTTTTCACTGAAAGAAAATAGAGAAAGCTCATCAGAAATGAGAAAATCACAAGATTATAGCTTGTAAGCTGCTTCTAGTCCACTTCTTCTTCTTCTTCTTCTTTGTTCAGCAAGATCCTTAATTTAGGTTTATTCATCCTAGTTAATATGTCACATAGTAGTTAATATGTCCTGTTGTATAGATATGGTTCAGCATCACAGCATGACACATTTATAAAAATCCCAACAGAGCGTTTATCCTTCAGAGCTTTCTTATTCAATCAGATACAGGTTTACATAATTTCTTAAAAAAATACAGCATTAAAATTTGGATATTTTTTTTTTAGAATTGAAGTGTTTCTTTTTCTAAACTTTAATGCAAAATATAGTCCTTACTATGTGAGAAATTCAGCATTTTTGAGGTGTGTTCAACTATTCAATAGCTATTGCAGAAACAAATTTCTATCTATCTAGTCTAATATATTGTGTAATGGAAATAAAGATATATTTTTATGGTTACTGTACAAATTATCTGTGTCTGTTTGTAAATATAATATTCATATTGTACATGTTTATTTTACTAACTGTACAGAATTTACCGCAAAATCTCAGTTTCACTGTTCTTCCTCGATATTGATTTTCTAAATGAAAGAGTATATCATATTCCTCATCCTTCTCTAATATTGTCTCTAAAAGTGGCTCAATAAATTGAAATCGAAATCTCTAATGTAGATATTACTGCACCAGATGGACAGATCCAGTCTGCACATGGAACTGATCAGAATCTGTGAAATTGACACATACATGATATCAAATATGCTTGATAAAATGGTATACCATGTTTTACCTAGTAAGATATCTATATGTATGTTCTTTATATTAGTATTCTAAAAGAACAAATATTTTATATTAAGGGTTTGCCATTATTTCCACTATAAAAATGGTATATATGTTTGGGAATGGATTGTTTCCTGCAATATAGGTAGTGACATGTATTTTGTTGCAGACCATATAGTTTGTTGCAGACTAACTTCAACACTTCATTGGACACTTCAGGTATAAGAAGTGTGAGGAGAGAAGTGCGTATGAAACCTCACTTTTGAATCTAACAGTGGCAACTAAAAATTTCATGAGTGGCAGGGTTACAGACCCCATTTCATAAACTAGCTAAATTTATTTCCTTTCCCTACTTCCCCACAAAAAGGGTTGAGTTTTATTATTTTTCCTGCTTGGCTACAAAACCCAGTGGAAACATTTCTAAATCCTCTTATGTATTAAGAAAAGCAGATAAACTGCATCCCAATTTTCCATCATCTTGCACTGTTTCTTTCTTAAAGTAAAAATTGTCAGGTGAATCAGGAAAACTAGCCATCAATAAGAGTTTGCTTGTGTGTGAGCATGTTTCCAACTTACAGGATTCTTATGACAAGTCTGTCAGAACACACTACATATTATCTGGAATGAAGTTCCATAACCAATTAGCTTTTCAGGCACAAGTAGGGAAATGGTATTAAAACAACAATCTATCATAACTAGTGAAGTTAGCTTCACTATCTGTAGTCTAGAATTCTGCTCTTTCTGATTGATAAAAACCTGCAGTAGGCCAACAGGTAATGCATAAAAGGGGTGGTTAAAGCCACCTTGGGTGGCTTTGAAGGAAGGGCTGATTTTCCATCCCTCAAGAAGTTGTATTCTAACTCTATAACTTTGGAAATCTATTAGCATTGGTCAATTGTAGAAGCACTGAGTTTAAATGATAGCATTAAAAATAGGGGAGGCTAAAAAAGTGATTTACTTTAGATGCTTTTCTATATAAGAGAAGGAAGTAAATATAGGTTCTTACTGCAAAGACAACAAACAATAATTGTGGAGGTTTTCTGCCTTAGCAAAGGATAGAAATTCCCAGCTTTTAGCTTTTACATACGCTTGCTAAGGGAGAATACATTTTTTTTGCATTGGTATCATTTCATTTGGAAATAGATAAATAAGAACCATGTTTCTGATTTGAAGAGAAAAGAAGAATAAAATGTCCTTATCAGCTTGTGCAGAGTTCTGGTTTTGAAGTTCATTGTTACATGGTTCCTCCAATAATTGGAAGGGAAGAAAGGACTAACTTGCTATATGTAGATATTAACCCAATCTGTCATTGTTTTACTAAGAATCAGCCATTAGTAATGCAAATTGGAAATGTGAAGAGGGTATGTGCACCAATTTAGCTTATTTTTATTCTGGGGTCCTTGTTACTATTATTTTTATTCCATCCTATTAGTAAAGCCACTGAATGTAAGATATGTTTGAAGGGACTTTACAACATTTCAAACATGCTAATCAACTTTTTAAAGGCATACGGTTATCAGTTATGTCTGAAAAAGTGAAACATTGCTCTGGAGGTAATGTTTCTGATTTGTTATTTTGATTATAATACTAAGTTTGTTGAGATTTTGAGGTAAATCATGGGTACAGTGTAGAATGGGGAGAGTGAACATAAATCACATTCAGGCCTGGACATGGCGCCAAAAATCAAACTGATTATTCTTGTAGATGATTTGTGGCAAGATGAGTATCTACTGCAAATTCTAATTATGTAAAAATGATCATGTTTGCACATTTTTTTATTGTAACAATGTTCCTACATTTATATATTGTGTTACAGTCTCTGTCACAAGTATACCAGTTTCAAGAGGCAGCTATGCCAAATATCTGCCTTATACCTCAGAGCTTTCTGGCTCATCCAGAAAGAGGGTAAAAGGTTAATTGCTTAATTTCAACAATGAATAAAGCTGACTGCAAGTTAAACAAATGAAAATAATTTTTTTTAAAGTATTTTGCTGCTTTTCCCAATCTGGATGATGTTCAAATAAGTGGTAAGCTTGAATCCTGAGAATTATTTATCTGGTGTAGTTATTATGGCAGTTCTTCTACTGAAGTTCATACTCTTGGAAGTTAATAAACTTGAGAAAGGTACTCTTTGAGCTTGATGGTTTTCTGGCAGATGCTTCATTACCAAACTAGTAACCACCAAGTTCGGAGAGCACCAAGGATCCCTTAGTTCAACCCTGAGCTATAAATATCCCCTTCTTATTTCTCCTAACATGAGAATGTTTTCCTGGATAACTATATAAAAAATAAAATATCTACCATAAGGATTAAAAAGGAATAAAATGAACATTATAAATAAACTCCCAAATCAAAACTGTTCCTATACTATAAATATTGGATTAGGCTTAAATAATTATTAGCTGGGAACAATCTCACAATAAATACATAATAACAACTGTCAGTCATGAAAGGATTTCTAGAATAATTTGGTCTTTGCTGTTTTTGGGTAGATCATCACATTATGACTAGTCTAATGTCCAAAGGAATGTCTTCTACAATTTGGGGATTGTATAGTAACTGAGAAAGGCTGCTCCATGTCTTCAGTATTCTTTGTCTAATCAGCATTCAGACTTATTAATGACTGTGGAGAATTCACTAACACCAGCTAGAAAATTATTACCACTGCTTTCCAGGAACTGATGTCTGAATAGTTTTATTCAGTGTTTATTTTTTTGTAAAAAAAAAAGTTCCGGAACTCATATACATCATACAACTCACCTTGCCTACCTGCCTACCTTTGTAGTTGAAAAAAAAAACACCCTTCAATTTTTACTGTATCTAAAAACTAGGATTTTGTTCAAGATAAGTTAATACTATTAATGTTACCGTGTACTGTGTGGCTTTAAATTACAAGATGGCATTTTATTAATCTTTTGGGACATTTACCACTGCCATACCCATTTAGTTTAATCAGTGGAAATGTCAGCTTTCTATGTGAAACAAAATTGGCCCAATAAAACAAAATTTGGTTGCTTGTAAAAGATTGATTATTTTTAGGAAGTTGTCAAGGTGGAAAAATTTATATTTGGAATATAAATATTGACTTGAAACAAATTAAAGTTGAAACTTTGTCAGTGAACAGATTACTTTTAATTTACCTTTAAGTTAAACCCAATTTAATAAATAGATCTGATTAAATCTCATACTGTAGGTATACCTTTACATTTGACTAATACATAATTAATATATATTGTTATTAATAATAATATCTCTGAATCACATTAGCTTTATTCTTATTATTCCCCTCTGAAGTTTGAACATAAAGTATAAAAGACTAAAAAGAGATTTTCGTAGACATCTCAGCTTTTGAACTACACAAGGAACTGAAACGGCAAAGTTTTGCTATCGGGCAAGCTTCCACGCCAGATATCTTTCTTTCCTCTTGCTTCACCTCTTTTTAACCTCACACGCCACTTTCTGTAAGGGAAGGCAAAAGTCTCACTCACCCTCTTATGAAAGATGGCTTCCATATTTATGTGTCTCCCACCACCACAATCGGTTTCCATGCCACATGGTCCAACCCAGCCAATCAAGCCATGCTCTGGCTGTGATGCTCCGGTGCCTCATGACTTCTCCTAGAGGAGGCAGACAGTGCTGGATGAGACCCCGCTTGCACTGTACTGCCAGGAGGGCATTTTCAAAAGCAAATATGGATAGGAAGGGCAACAATAGGAAAAGAACACAACTCTGGAAAATCCATTGAAAAAAGGTGCCAAAACTCTATTCTGGTGCATTCTATGACAAAAAAAAGCCCTGGTTTTATTTATTCTGTGGGTTCTATTTGAAATACATTAAAATAGGTATTTATTGAATGTATTCTGAGGCAACCTATTATATATTCTACAAAGTTTGGCTGGGTGCTTTTTAAAAATATAATATGAATAAAAGCAGAAGCTGAATAAAATGGAAAAAAGTATGGAAGAGAATGGAAATAGAGTTTTATTTATTTATGGACAAGAACAATAACTATTAACAGAGAGATTATATAAATTGCTTGGTTGATGGCTCAATATGACTGAATTAGTATTATAAACCAAATCAGAATTACATAACTGAGAGATTTATATTTAAATATTATTGCACACATCTATTGGGAAAATTGATGTTTAATTCTATAAAGAACTATTTCTTTATAGTTCCAGGAAAGAATGAGACAAAACAAAGAAAAACAACTCTTGAGATTGTTCTCTTAATGAGGAGTCAAATATTGTATAAAAGCCTTCCTATTATTTGCAATCAGCATAATAACCACAATGGTGACTTGGACAATTCAATACAAAACATCAGCTCACAGGAAATGTGTCATAGATACATCTAGTTTTGAATATTATTATTTTGAACTGAAATGTAGTAGGACTGTAAGTGATAGTTTGTATGGAAGAGGTCTTGTAGTTTTCATATTACTGAAACCATGGTTGGCAAAGTGAAAACAAAAGCTTACTACTAAGCAAACAGTAAGGGGAATATAAGCAAGTAATCTTGCTTCAAAAAGTGGCAGAGATCAGCATATTTTTTTTCTTTCAGTTCTAAATCACAATTTATTTACAGATTTTTCTTACTGTTATTTGAATGTATGATGTGCAAGATAAAAATGTGAGACTCCTCCATCAAATTCTCATCAGAGACTGAAGATTCATCAGTCTTCTAAAAAATGTCTTTGTCTTGCCTTAGAAAACATTTTAGGTGTCTTCATATGAGAAAGTTCTTCATCAGACGAAACACATCTGAGAATATTTACATTTTTTTAAAAAAATACTTTCATTGCTATTACTACAAGCTATTTTCCTCTTTTATTTTCTTCCCATACAGCAATATTGGACCAATTGTCCATAATTTTATTATCTCATTCCTCCATTCAAATGAAGAGCTAAATAAGTAAGTATGTAAATATATAGGTGATTGATAAAAGTATTATTTTGGTACAAGCTTTGGTAAATAGGAAGCCTTTCTTTCTTTCTTTCTTTCTTTCTTTCTTTCTTTCTTTCTTTCTTTCTTTCTTTCTTTCTTTCTCTTTCTCAAGAAATTTGTTGTGTTTAAAATTGTTACTTTTATTTTCATCAGAAAGTACCATTTTGAACTGAAAACCATTTTGACCGCCATTTGGGAGCTGAAAGCTAGAAAGTAAATATGATAACCAATGAGAGATCAGGATGGTGTCTCATTATTTCAATACCAATAAATTTATATTCCTCCTTCTTGCATATTCCAATGTTTTGAGAAAATACCAACCAGATTTTAACAACAACCCTGTGTCTGAAACATTGCTGGCAAAAAAATGACTTCCATATATCACACAATTCAAATTATCTTTTTCCTCCTTTAGGCCCAAATTTACCATTGGTGGGTTGACCTTTTATCTCATTCATAGTGATGTAACTTGATTTTTGCTTTGGAGGTGATATGACATGCCAAAATCAAGAACTGGGGGAAGAACCAGTCAAACATGTCTTTCTACATGTTCTTATTTCTTTATCTTTATATGATTTAAGACTGACTGTTATCGGTATGCAGTCCCACAAGAGACATTTGCCAGTGAAATCCAATTTTTCTCCTATGATTTTTCAACATTTTTGTCTACTAAGTATGTTGTGGAATACTAATATGAACAAAAGGGCTGTATGAATGGATTCTTAGAATTCATCTAGGTTAGTTCAATCATGTGTATAAGGCTGCAATGAAAACAATTCTTTTCTTTATTTCATTTACTAAGATAGGAAGAGAAAGATCTTTAGGCACAAAACTAAAGTTTCTTACCTTGTTTCATCCCTATTCCTGTCCTATTCTGGAAAACACATAGAAATACATCATTAAAAATAGAATTTGATAACATCATATAATCTGACATCTGTCCTTAATTTTGAAATTGGAATTATTGTTTAAAATGAAAATAATTGTGTATTATTAAATTTAGATTACTTGCTATGTTTACTTAAATGCAATCGGTATAATTATGGTGACTTGTTCCCAGCATTTCTACATGTTCTTATTTCTTTATTTTTATATGATTTAACACTGATTGTTATTGATATGCAGTCCCACAAAAGACATTTGTCAGTGAAATCCATTTTTTCTCCTATGAATTTTCAGCATTTTTGTCTACTAAGTATATTGTGGAATAAACATATGTAAAAAAATGAAGTTATTATTTTTGCTTGCAGAAATAAATCCATTAGTCGCTAGTCTAAAGATCACTAATCATGTTCTCAAGACTGAAGCTGCAAAATATTTTTTTCAGTGCTAACTTGACATCCTGATTCCTTAAACAATAAACGCATGGATTCAGCATGGGAGTAACAACAGTGTACACAACTGACACAAGCTTATTGGTGTTGAAAGAATGGATTCTCCTTGGTCTTGCATACATGAAGAGTGTAGCTGAGTAGAAGATAGTAACCACTGTGAGGTGGGAGGTACAAGTAGAAAAAGCTTTTCTTTTTCCTTGGCTTGTAGGGATATTTAAAATGGTGCCTATGATAAATGCATAGGAGCCCATTGTGACAGAGAGTGGAATTAAAAGGATAAGAAGAGCAAATACAAAGTCAACAATTTCAACCACAGTTCGGTCAGTGCAGGAGAGATTGAGCAAAGGGGAGATGTCACAGAAGAAGTGGTTGATGACATTGGGCCCACAAAAACTCAAATGTGAAATGAAAAAAACTTTGAGCATAGAAATTAGGAAACCAGTGAACCAGGAACTCACTGCTAGCTGCAAGCAAAGCTGAGATGTCATTATAACAGGATAGCGTAGTGGATGGCAGATGGCAACATAACGATCATAAGCCATAACAGCCAGCAGGACACATTCAGTGCAGGCTAGGGATATGAAAAAATACAGCTGAGCCATGCAGCCTGCATAGGAAATGCTTTTATCTGTTGCTAAGAAGTTAGTCAGGAGCTTTGGAACAGTCACAGAAATATACCAAGTCTCAAGGAAAGACAAGTGACTGAGGAAGAGATACATGGGTTTTTGGAGGTGACTATTTGTCCTGATGAGGATGATGATCATAGTGTTCTCCACAAGAGTGAGGATGTAGATACAAAGAAATACTACAAATAGTAGTCTCTGAAGTTCTAGAACACTGGGAAAACCCAGAAGGATAAACATCTGGACCCTGGTTTGGTTGTTCACTTCCATGCCTTATACACCAATCTGCAAGATCAAAGGATAACAGAAACATGATAAATTTACAAGATAAATGAAAAAAAAACATTTTAGGAAGAGAGCTTTCTAGATATATGGTGGGGAAAATTCAGGATATGTGAAAGGATGAATGGAAATGTCAATAAATGAAGCAAAAGTTTCTTGTAGTTCTTCATCTCTGAGTTTGCTAAATATTCAAAATTTGGATAATGCAGTTTCTGAATTCCTGAAAAGGCAATGTTATACCCAATGAAACAGTAATCAATATATATAAATTATACAATCAGAAATAATAATTATAATTAAGGAGTCAGTTACACTTTTAAATGTGAGGGTATCCTACACTACCTGCCCAATCTGGTACAGCCTGTGTGCTACAGTTGTAGCTGCCAAATCTATTGATATTTTTTTCATCTTTTTATTGAAAACATGCTAATTATAAAATAAATACAGCATTTCCTTTGGTTTCTGTCATTTATATTGTTTTTTTTTTAAAAAAAATAGGAAATCCAGTGTGAAACATACATATGCACATAAACACACAAACAAATGAATTAGGCTTGTCTGTAGAATGCTTGTGGTCAATTATTTACATTTTTATTTGGGTTTTTGAATAGCCACTTTTTCTCACTCTATCCTATTTCTACAATTACAATTCTGGACTCTTTGGATTAGTAATATAGAAAATATTACATATTTTGTGGCTGTGTTGGATTCTTTATGGTAGATCATTTGACAAACAGAAGGCAGGCAGGCAGGCAGGCAGGAAAGAAGGAAGGAAGGAAGGAAGGAAGGAAGGAAGGAAGGAAGGAAGGAAGGAAGGAAGGAAAGAATGAAGGAAGGAGGGATTTTTTTTACATGAACACTTAATGAACTTCAGGAAAAAAATATGAATGATGTTGTATGTGTATATATTTTTCATGTATCTATTGCTATATCATTTCTGAATAACCAAGTTGAGTACTATGCAAAATAAAAGTTAAAGTTATAACATTAAATAAAAAAATAGTAATAATTAAGAAATAATTAAGAAGAAAATACAAAGATTTAAATTAAATTTTAATCATTAGAAGAATAAAAATCAATTAAGTTCTAACAGGCAGATATTATATTCTGCTATGTCCAAATTACAATGAAAACATGTTGAAATGAATCTTACCTGCTTTTCATTCATTTGCATTACATATTTAAGTTTAACTAATAAAATGATATATCTTGTTCCCAATCAAATAAACAAAATATAAATCAGGAGGAAAAGTAAATATGCAATATCTAAAATATAATTTGTTAGATTCCCATGAATACTATAAAGTGACTTAAGGAAATAAAAATGTGTATATTAACCATATGAAGAGGAGATGAATTCAGGGAATACCCCTTCCCTAGAATTTATTTTAAAAAATATTATTCACTGAAAGAAAATAGAGAAAGTTCATCAGAAATGAGAAAATCACAAGATTATAGCTTGTAAGCTGCTTCTAGTCCACTTCTTCTTCTTCTTCTTCTTTGTTCAGCAAGATCCTTAATTTAGGTTTATTCATCCTAGTTAATATGTCACATAGTAGTTAATATGTCCTGTTGTATAGATATGGTTCAGCATCACAGCATGACACATTTATAAAAGTCCCAACAGAGCCTTTATCCCTCAGAGCTTTCCTATTCAATCAAATACAGGTTTACATAATTTCTTAAAAAAATACAGCATTAAAATTTGGATATTTTTTTTTTAGAATTGAAGTGTTTCTTTTTCTAAACTTTAATGCAAAATATAGTCCTTACTATGTGAGAAATTCAGCATTTTTGAGGTGTGTTCAACTATTCAGTAGCTATTGGAGAAACAAATTTCTATCTATCTAGTCTAATATTTTGTATAATGGAAAATAAAGATATATTTTTATGGTTACTGTACAAATTATCTGTGTCTGTTTGTAAATATAATATTCATATTGTACATGTTTATTTTACTAACTGTACAGAATTTACCGCAAAATCTCAGTTTCACTGTTCTTCCTCGATATTGATTTTCTAAATGAAAGAGTATATCATATTCCTCATCCTTCTCTAATATTGTCTCTAAAAGTGGCTCAATAAATTGAAATCGAAATCTCTAATGTAGATATTACTGCACCAGATGGACAGATCCAGTCTGCACATGGAACTGATCAGAATCTGTGAAATTGACACATACATGATATCAAATATGCTTGATAAAATGGTATACCATGTTTTACCTAGTAAGATATCTATATGTATGTTCTTTATATTAGTATTCTTATATAGGATGCTAAAAGAACAAATATTTTATATTAAGGATTTGCCATTATTTCCACTATATAAATTATATATATGTTCCTGTTACAAATTGTTTGGGAATGGATTGTTTCCTGCAATATAGGTAGTGATATGTAGAACAAATAAACAAATAATTATTGATGAATGGGACGGTAGGCCTTTTGCATTATTCAGAAGAGGAAGGCATCTATAACTGGACAGCCAAAATGGACAATATTGTCCTTTATCAATTCCTTACTGTCAAAATAATCATTGGCATGATTTTCTGCTCCACTTACTTTTTCTTTCCATGTTTTATCATTCTCCAGCATGATTGGATGGAGAATCCATGAGTGGGTTGTCTTAATCTTCCTGCTCAAATAAGACTAAGTCTGGAAAGTTGCCACACCTCTGCTGGGTTAGAGCACCCAAGTTTACGATTTAGTCTCTTGCTCAGGAGACACGTAAATTGTGCTCCTTTCCAGATTTAGCTGCAGGTTGTATATTGTCCACTCGTGGATTTTCTTCCTTTATTACCATCATTGGAGAAAACATTTGGATTTAATTTGGACACATTTCCCCTCAAAAATTGCACCAATTTTTTTTCACCTTACTCTGAGAGGAATTGCAGTCAGTCTTCAGGGCTGCCCTGCAGGCTGAAGCCTCCTGCCCTTCAGGAGAGGCTTTGCTCCCTGGGAGTCCTTTCGGAGGCTTGGAGTTTCTCCAGCTGTTCTGGGGGCTTTTCGCTGGAGCCATAACAACGTTTTCAGAGCTCCTCAGCATTTTTCCCTCACTGTCAGATGGCCCCCTCCGAATCGCCTGCCTCTCTCTCCACCAGCTGCCTGATTCGGCAGTTTAAAGTGACGCCGACTTCAGCCCTCAAACCTTGGATGAACAGCCATTTAGGCTTCTGACCTAATTAGCCTGTGACTGTGAACAGCATTTCTCTGCCACTGAAACTAACATTAGGAGGGCTTTGCATTACATCTTCGAAGGCCATTTTTCTTTGGGTGCAAAATTAGCATGGCCGCCATTTTGGGTGCAGCTCAATCATCCTGTATCACATTTGGACAGTTTCAGACTGCCTGAGGGAGGCCAGAATCGGCGCGGCTGCCATTTTAGGTGAGGTTGTAAGGGCTGAATCCAAAATTTTGGGCCTGTAGGCTTCAGCTTGTTGGGGCTTGACTGAAGGAAGCCAGAATTGGCATAGCCGCCCTTTTGAGACCATTGTTAAGGGCTGCATCTGAAATTTCTGGCCTGTAAGCTTCACCTGTTGGGGCCTTTACTGCCCTTTGCTTTTTTGCTGCTTGTTACATCTTTATTGGGGAGGGCAATTTCACCTCTGAGGGATCTGATTGCCTAATTTCACACCCACCTACTCTAAGCAGTTAGAGATACACGTACAGGAGTTACTCCTGGGGGGGGGAACAAAAAACTTTGTCAGGGTGTTAGCCGTAGGGCATGCGGCACTGTGTCGCCAACGGTGGGCCTCGCTGACAACAGCTAAGTCTTTGTCAGCCACTTCTAGAATATTGGTCAGAGCCACCTGGGTCCAGGCTTGGACACATGGTTTTACCAAAAATTTCTGCTCCGCAGAGTGCGACAAGGATCCTTCAGTTCAACCCTGAGTTACAAATATCCCCTTCTTCTTTCTCCTAACATGAGAATGTTTTCCTGATTTGTGCTGTAATGCAAATCACATTTGGTCTTTGAATCTAGATTTCTACACAACTGTAGTTCCTCTTGGGTGATATTTGGATACATTTACATGCTTATGAATGTTACTTCTGAAGTACTGTTTGTTTGTTTCATACATTTATAAATCTGCCCAACTCACGAAATTATTTTGCCATCCTTATGGCTTCATAGGTGTTATAGAAATGAGGGTGTAGAGCAGCGGTTCTCAACCTGTGGGTCGCAACCCCATTTGGGGTTGAATGACCATTTCACAAGGCTGTCTTCCATTTTCTCCCCTTTTCTTTAGCTGTGCTACTTCCTCTTATTCTATTGGCTTTTGAAAGCCAATAGAATAGATTCTCTTGAATAGAGTCTAATTCTATTGGCTTTCAAAAGCCAATAGGAATTGTCCAGGCTGTCTTTGCCCTGCTGAGACTGCCAAAAGCCCCAGTCTGCAAATGGTGCTGCAAGGAAAGCTTCCCTTTCTGCTGAGCAACTACTAAAATTAAGTAAAAGAGGGCCAGGGGTGGGAGGTGGGTGGCCGGTGAGTGGAGGGAGGGTTGCTGGCATGCGTGGGGCCCGGTGGGTGCCTTACCTGCCTGGGCTGGGCCAACTGGTGGCCCAGCCGGTGGTTGCCCTGCGCCGTCGCTGCCACTTGCCGTGGCTGCCCAGGAGCACCTGGGCCTGCCTGCTGCTGCCCCAAACAGGTGGTGGCCATGGTAAGGCTAGCGGGGCAGTGGCAGGTACAGGGAGGGTTGCTGGCATGCATGGGCCCCAGCGGGTGCCTTACGTGCCTTGGCTGGGCCAGCTGATGGCCCAGCCAGTGGTCACCCTGCACCATCGCTTGCCAGCTAGGCCTCGGCCGGCGCAGGGGATGGCACAACGCATGCACGCTGCTGCCTGGCAGAGAAAGTCCTCGACTTATGACCGGTTAGGTAGTCCTCAACTTACAACCGGTTGGGTAGTCCTTGACTTATGACCAGTTGGGGGTCACGGCATTAAAAAGGTTGAGAACCACTGGTGTAGAGGATACCAAATGTCTGTCCTTAATGGTAAGATTTATTTATTCAGTAATTTATTATATTTATGGGGTTCTTGAAATATATAATAGGCATTTGCAAGCTGAGGATTCCAGGTTTAATTTTACTTTTAACAATGGATAACTTCCTCCTCAATATTTGAAGAGAATGGAGGAGAGTAAAGGCTATCAAACAACTTGCAAAGGCAATCACTATCTTGCCACAGTTTCCAAAATAGATTATGATTTAAACTGCTATGCCCCCAACTCTCTTTTTACTTCCTAGAAAAACCAAGCATATAGCATCCCTAGTACAGGATAACTATGTAAAAAATAAAACATCTACCATAAGGATTAAAAAGGAATAAAATGAACATTATAAATAAACTTCCAAATCAAAACTGTTCCTATACTATAAATATTGGATTAGGCTTAAATAATTATTAGCTGGGAACAATCTCACAATAAATACATAACAACAACTGTCAGTCACGAAAGGATTTCTAGAATAATTTGGTCTTTGCTGTTTTTTGATAGATCATCACATTATGACTAGTCTAATGTCCAAAGGAATGTCTTCTACAATTTGGAGATTTTACAGTAACTGAGAAAGGCTGCTCCAGGTCTTCAGTATTCTTTGTCTAATCAGCATTTAAACTTGGAGAATTCACTAACAACAGCTAGAAAATTATTAACACTAGTTTCCAGGAACTGATGTCTGAATAGTTTTATTCAGTGTTTATTTTTTTGTAAAAAAAAAAAAAAGGTCCAGAACTCATACACATCATACAACTCGCTTTGCCTACCTGACAAGGTTTACCTTTGTAGTTGAAAAAAAAAACACCCTTCAATTTTTAGTGTATCTAAAAACTAGGATTTTGTTCAAAGTAAGTTAATACTATTAATGTTACCATGCACTGTGTGGCTTTAAATTACAAGAAGGCATTTTATTAATCTTTTGGGACATTTACCAGTGCTATACTCATTTAGTTTAATGAGTGGAAATGTCAGCTTTCTATGTGAAACAAAATTGGCCCAATAAAACAAAATTTGGTTGCTTGTAAAAGATTGAATTATTTTTAGGAAGTTGTCAAACAGGGTGGAAAAATTTACATTTGGAGTTTAATATGAATATTGACTTGAAATAAATTAAAGTTGAAACTTTGTCAGTGAACAGATTACTTTTAATTTACCTTTAAGTTAAACCCAATTTAATAAATAGATCTGATTAAATCTCATACTATAAGTATATCTTTACATCTGACCAGTACATAATTAATATATATTATTATTAATAATAATAATATCTCTGAATCACATTGGCTTTATTCTTATTCTTTCCCTCTGCAGTTTGAATATAAAGTATAAAAGACTAAAAATAGATTTTCGTAGACATGTTGGCCTTTGAACTATGCAAGGAACCGAAACAGCAAAGTTTCACTATCAGGCAAGCTTCCACGCCAGACATCTTTCTTTCCTCTCACTTCACCTCTTTTTAACCTCACACGCCACCTTCTCTAAGGGAAAGCAAAAGGCTCACTCGCCTTCTTATGAAAGATGGTCTCCCACTGCCACAATCGGCTTCCATGCCACATGGTCCGACCCAGCCAATCAAGCCACTGCCAGGAGGACATTTTCAAAAGTAAATAAGAATAGGAAGGGCAACAATAGGAAAAGAATGCAACTCTGGAAAATCCATTGAAAAAAAGTGCCAGAACTCTGTTCCGGTGCGTTCTATGAAAAAAAAAAAAAAAGCTCTGGTTTTATTTATTCTGTGGGTTCTATTTGAAATACATTAAAATAGGTATTTATTGAATGTATTTTGAGGGAATCTATAAAATATTCTACAAAGTTTGGCTGGGTGCTTTTTAAAAATAAAATATGAATATAAGCAGAAGCAGAATAAAATAGAAAAAAATATGGAAGAGAGTGGAAATAGAGTTCTATTTATTTCTGGATAAGAACAAGAACTGTTAAAAGAGAGATTATATGCATTGCTTGGTTAATGACTCAGTATGGCTGAATTGATATTATGAACCAAATTAGAATTAAATAACGGGAGGATTTATATCTACTGTAAATATTATTGCACACATCTATTGGGAAAATTGATGTTTAATTCCTTGTTACATTACTATTTCTTTATAGTTCTAGGAAAGAATGAGACAAAACAAAAACAAAAAAAAGAACAACACTTGAGGTTGTTCTCTTAATGAGGAGTCAATACTCAAATTCTGTATAAAAGCCTTCCTATTATTTGTAATCAGCATAATAACCATAATAGTGACTTGGACAATTCAGTACAAAACATCAGCTCACAGGAAATGTGTCATAGATACATCTAGTTTTGAATATTATTATTTTGAACTGAAATGTAGTAGGACTGTAAGTGATATTTTGTATGGAAGAGGTCTTGTAGTTTTCATATTACTGAAACCATGGTTGGCAAAGTGAAAACAAAAGCTTACTACTAAGCAAACAGTAAGGGGAATATAAGCAAGTAATCTTGCTTCAAAAAGTGGCAGAGATCAGCATATTTTTTTTCTTTCAGTTCTAAGTCACAGTTTATTTACAAATTTTTCTTACTGTTATTTGAATGTATGATGTGCAAGATAAAAATGTGAGACTCCTCCATCAAATTCTCATCAGAGACTGAAGATTCATCAGTCTTCTAAAAAATGTCTTTGTCTTGGCTTAGAAAACATTTTAGGTGTCTTCATATGAGAAAGTTCTTCATCAGATGAAACACATCTGAGAATATTTACATTTTTTAAAAAAATACTTTCATTGCTATTACTGCAAGCTCTTTTCCTCTTTTATTTTCTTCCCATACAGTAATACTGGACCAATTGTCCATAATTTTATTATCTCATTCCTCCATTCAAATGAAGAGCTAAATAAGTAAGTATGTAAATATATAGCTGATTGATAAAATTATTATTTTGATACAAGCTTTGGTAAATAGGAAGCCTTTCTTTCTTTCTTTCTTTCTTTCTTTCTTTCTTTCTTTCTTTCTTTCTTTCTTTCTTTCTTTCTTTCTTTCTTTCTTTCTGTCTTTCTGTCTTTCGTTCTTTCATTCTTTCTTTCTTTTTTTGTACAAGAACTTTGTTGTGTTTAAAATTGTTACTTTTTTTCATCAAAAAGTACCATTTTGAACTGAAAACCACTTTGACCACCATTTGGGAGCTGAAAGCTAGAATATAAATATGATAACCAATGAGAGATCACATGGTGTTTCATTATTTCAATACCAATAAATTTATATCCCTCCTTCTTGTGTATTCCAGTGTTTGAGAAAATACCAGCCAGATTTTAACAACAACCCTGAAACACTTGCTGGGAAAGAAATGACTTCCATCTATCACACAATTCAAATTACTTTTTTCCTCCTTTAGGCCCAAATCTACCATTGGTGGGTTGACCTTTTATCTCATTCATAGTGGTGTAATTAGAGTTTTGCTTTGGAGGTGATATGAGATGCCAAAATCAAGAACTGGGGGAAGAACCAGTCAAACACACTGAAGAATGAAATCATACACTTTTTAAAGGACAGTCTGCTTTACTTCATAAAATGGTAAGTCACAAGGAATATAGATTCATTCTAATTGTCTTAAGATTTTTCTATTTAAGATTGTTGATTTTTCTTGGTCCTCTACTCTTATGAGCTATATTTCAAGTAGAAATTTATATTAGTAGCACTTACATTTAAGTAAGCAAGTCCACAACTAGGTTTAATATTTTGTTTTAATTAACCATACTTTATTGTATACACCATGGTTGACTGGTCCACACAAAACCCAAAACATGATTTTACAAAATACATGAAAAATATATATTTTTAATGAAATTCAAAGCTCTGTACAATGTGTCAACCAGTCAGCCAGTGCTATTTTTTCTTAACATATTTTTATGTGTACGGTGTACTGTATATTATCTCAAACATCACCGTACGTAATCACTATCCAACTCAATAGCATTTACAGTATATATTGCAAGTCTATAATCTTCAACTTACCCAGAATTCTCTGTTAATTATTTTTCCTTGATTTGGTTTCTTTAGAAAACAACTAGGCTGAATTAGTTGCATTACTAATTGTTCTGGTGGATTCATAGAATGAACTTTTCTTTTATTATAGTGTCTTTCCTTTAAAGTGAAATGTATCTCAACTTGTGCAAAGATATGTTGATGTGCTTTCTCACCCCACCCCACCCCAATTGTTTTCAATAGGTGAGAATAAATAAGAGTACAACAAATAGCTTCCTATTGCTGGGATTTTCCAGTTTTCCAGGTCTGGAGGGTTTGTTCTTTACTACTTTCTTTATCATCTATTTTTTGATCCTAATTGGGAATGCCTTCATAATTGTTATAACAATAGTTGATCAGACACTCCATAGTCCAATGTATTTCTTCCTGAGAAATTTGTCCTGTCTTGAAATTTGCTATACTTCAATCATTATACCTAAAATGCTTGAAAATATTCTCTCAGAAGATAAAACCATATCATTTATCAATTGTGCTTTTCAAATGAGTCTCTTTCTTATCACAGGGGCAGCAGAATGCTTTCTCCTGGCTGCTATGGCTTATGACCGCTATGTTGCCATTTGCCAACCCTTGCATTATTCACTCATTATGAACAGCAGAGTCTGCTCTGGGCTAGTGAGTGCTTCCTGGCTAGTTGGAATTCCAGTACAACTTTCCCAGACTTTCCTTGTGTTTGCCTCTTATTTCTGTAATTCAAATGAGATCAATCATTTCTTCTGTGATATTCCTGCTTTGCTTAGCCTGGTTTGTGGTGATACAACTATAAATGAGCAAGTAGCTCTGTTAGAAGTTATTTTGCTTGCATTGATACCATTTGCTATGATCTTGATGTCTTATATTTGTATTGCCATTACTATTCTGAAGATACCATCTGTTGAAGGAAGGCACAAGGCCTTTTCCACATGTTCCTCACATCTCACAGTAGTTCTGGGGTTCTATGGTTCTGGAATAATTGTCTATGTGACACCAAAGTCAAGACATTCTTTAGATACAGATAAATATCTGTCACTATTCTATACTGTTCTGTCACCATTGGTAAACCCTCTTATTTACAGTTTGAGAAACAGGGAAGTCCAAATTGCTTTAGGAAAAGTCCTTTACCTTTTTGTTCGTGTGTGAAACAAATGCATAAAAAATAACTAAAATTCTTTTCTTAATAGTTCCTGATATAGATATTAACAAGTTAGCTGTCTTAGTGATTTTATTTATGCTGCCAATGAGTTGAAAGCTCTATATCCTTTAAGCCATAGTTTTACCTTTTTAAAGTGTAATATCCTCCTTGTTAATGCAAAATGATTTATATATGAGATGTTTCCGTCATTAAAAAGAACTTATAATATGAAAATATAAGACATGAAATTAGGGACTGAGAACAACATTAGGCTTTGTTTTTCAATTCTTGTGTTGCTTTGTGCCCTTGTGACCATCATTCTCTTTATCATCAGGTGAACATGCAAAAGAAGAACCTACTGTTTTTATTTCCAGCTTACCTTTTCACAGAGGTTATTGGGTATCTCAACATTTAAAAATGAAACAGTAAAGAAATATGAAAAGTAATGGACCTATTTTTCTGAGAAATAGATCATACTACTTTCATCAAAATCAGAGACACATACGTTGGTAGGGGTAATTGAGTTACTGAATCCAAATATTTATTAAATACAGAAATGTCAGCTCAATATTCATGACATATAACTATTTCACTCCTCTGAGTGAAAGAGAGACAACCTTTTCTCTAGAAAATGGATTTCTAGGTTTTTGTAGATTTTTCTAACATTGTATATTTATTACTTGGGATGCTGAATAAAAATGAAGCAATATTTATGCTATAGCAAATTACCTTAAACAAACTTTAACTAACAATGTGAACATTTTAATAATTTATGTTAGAATCTTTCACTAAATTATTTTTCAATCAATGTCTTAACTTCACTACTAATTCACCAGTATTTGTTTATGTTCCTCTTGTTATTACTACTATTACCAGTAATATAGTATATAAAGTTGTACAGAGAAGGGATTTCAGGCAGATTTTAATCATATTTTAATTTGGAGATAAAAAAAGACAATAGTCACAGTTAGCACATGTTTTATGATGTCATATTGTTTCTGAAAGTCTATTTGAGTGTCATATTCTTGCATTTCTATTTAATTTACACATAAAAGGAATATTACCCAAACTATTGTTATATATAATTTATGGTATTGTTTTACTGGTATTTATCTTAAATTGTTTTACTTTTTTTGTTTGGAATAATTCAGTCAACTGCTGTTTTATTATAATGTTTTGAGAACAAATGTGCATATTTTCTCTCCGTATGTCACACACATTTCCATCATGAATGTGGGAATAAACTTCTGTTTCAAAATTTGTTTGGCAAGGAAAACTTTTCATTGATAGTAAATGCTTGACTAAGCAATTTTCCTGTAAGCTTGAAATAGTATTAATATTTCCTTACAACATCATACACATAAGACTATTACTCCCATGAATAAACATGCTTTGAATTTAAAAAATGACTGCCTTCTTAGCTATTAAAACTTATAGAGATGCTTGTCTTCAATTAAGTAAGATCCTTCCTCCTTTAGAGTTTATTTTATTTTCTTTTTTAATTTTTAATTTTTTAAAACAACAAAACATAACACACATACACACACAGTGTATATTCCTCCTTTTTTTTAAATAGCAATTTCGTAACGGTAATCTTCTATTATTTACATTTTCCCCCCTTATTCTCCTTTAGATATATTTGTCCTTGTCCCGTTGTTTCTTGTTTACATATTTCTTCCTACATACTATACCTCATACTAAAAATAATACATATTATTGTTATTATACATTATTATACACATATTCTCCTTTATTATTTCTACTCTCCAACCAATCATACCACTTATTCCATATTAGATAGTAGTCTGTATCTTCCTTTTCTTTTATCTCTTTTGTTACCTTGTCCATCTCAGCACAGTCCAGGATTTTTCTTATCATTTCTTTCTCTAATGGTATATTCTCATTTTTCCAGAGCTGTGTGTATACTATTCTTGCTGCCATTGTTATATGTAGAATTAAGAACCTTATTTCTTTACTATATTTTCTGTTTAAAATACCCAGCAGAAAGATCTCTGGTTTCCAATCTACTGGTTGGTCTATTATTTCTTCCATCCATCTTCTTATTTTAGTCCAGTATTTTTTCACAACTGGGCATGTCCACCATAAATGATAATATGTTCCATATACGTTTTTACATTTCCAACATGTTGGCAAATTGTTCTGGAACATCTTGGCAAGCTTTGCTGGTGGAAAATGCCATCTGTAAAATATCTTCAACGGGTTTTCCTTGAATGCCACTGACATAGTCAATTTTATTTTTATTTCCCATATTTTTTCCCATTTCTCCAATTCTATATTATATCTGAATTTTTTTGCCCATCTAATCATTGTGTCTTTGACAACCTCGTCTTCCATTTTATATCTCAATAGGTATTTGTATAAACTGCAACTAATTTTATTTCTGTTCCATGTATAATTTTATCCAATTCTTGTGGCTCTTTTTGTATTTCATATACTGTATATGCCGGCGTATAAGGTGACTTCCGCGAGCGCTAAAATCGGCACCAAAGATGGGGGTCATCTTATATGCCGAGTCGTCTTATACACCGGAAATACTGGTAGTTTCCGGCATATAAGACGACGTTCTAAGAATGCAGCCCGGCGATAAAGACGGGGGTCGTCTTATACACCGGGTCGCCTTGTACGCCGGCATATACAGTAATTTTTTTGTCCTCTGTATATTTAGATTGAATTTGTGTAAATGTTCACCAGTCAATGTCTCTGCCTATATCTTGTTCCAATTGTTATTTTGCTTTCAGATTTCCATGTTCATTTACTAATTCCTTGTATCTAATTATCTTATTTATATCCAGTAGGTTTGGGTGTTTCAGAGCTTCTGTTGGGGATAACCACATTGGAATTCTTATATAATGTTTTTGTTTTATTTTTTCCCAAGTCTGTAGCAATGCATTCCTAACAATGTGTCTTTGAAAGTATCTATGTATTTTATATTTTTCGTCCCATAGGAATGCATGTCACCGCACTTGCAAGTCATGTCCTTCTATTGTTAAAACTCTGATATTTTTCAATTCCATCCATTCTTTTAGCCAAGTTAGGCTCGATGCTTGGTGGTATATTTCCCACTCTGGTAACGCCAATCCCCCTTTATCTTTCATGTCTTGCAAGAGTTTTAATTTAATCCTGAGTTTTTTCCTTTGCCATATGAATTTGGTGACCAATTTATTTAATTCTTGAAAGAATGTTTTCCCTAGTTTTATTGGAATAACTTGGAATAGAAATAATATTTTTGGCAATATATTCATTTTGAGTGTAGCAGTCCTCCCTAAAAATGAAATTTGTAGATTTCCTCAATTTTCTAAATCTTTTTTTATCTGGTGTAATATTTTATCATAATTATCCTCCTTAATCGAGGAACACTTCGCTGTAAGCCAGATCCCTAAATATTTTATTTTCTTAGTTACATTTATCTTTGTTTTATATTCCAGCTCACTTTCCTGTGCCTTTGTAAGATTTTTGGTTATTAATTTGGATTTATTCTTATTGATCTTAAGTCCAGCTACCTCACCGAATTCTTCTATTTTTTTAATCAATTTAAGGCTGGTTTCTAATGGAAATCAAAATGAATACCAAATCATCAGCGAAGGCTTGGACCTTATATTCTTCCTTCTTAATTTTTAAATCCTTTATTTCTTGGTCCTCTCTGATTTTTGTCAGAAGTATTTCTAATGGTAAAATAAACAGAAGAGGGGAGAGTGGGCATCCTTGTCTTACTCCTTTGGTTATATCAATTTTTTTCTGTCATTTCATCATTTATAATTACCCTAGCTGTTTGTTTAGTATATATTTTCTCAACCATATTTCCAAATTTTGTCCCAAAATCCGTATAGTGCAATTGTGTTATAATAAACTTCCAATTCAGATTATCAAATGCCATCTGGGAATCAAGAAAACCAGTGTAGCTTGTCTTTCAGGATGGACTTCATAAAATTCTAAAGTGTTCATTATTATCCTCATATTATATTTTATCTGTCATCCTGGTAGAAATCCATTTTGATCTGGGTGGATGTAGTTATTCAATTTTTTTAATCCTTTCTGCTATTATTGTTGCAAATGTCTTATAATCTGTATTCAGTAAAGAAATCGGCCTATAGTTTTGAATTTGTTGCAGGTCTGAGTCTTCTTTAGGGATGAGGGTGATGATTACTTCAGTCCAAGTTGTCGATATCTTCGCCTCCTCCAGCACCTCATTATAAATCTCCAACATTATCCATTGTAGTGACTCTTGTGTACTTTTATAAAACTCAATCGGAATTCCATCTGGGCCTGGTGATTTATTGGGTTTTTTTTATTTTTTTCAATGCTGTTTCTAGTTCTATTGTGGTTATTGGCCTATTCAACATTTCCTTTTGTTCTTGTGATTTTGTTCATTTTTGCTGCCTGTATATATTGTTTGACTTTATCATCTGCTATATCTTCCTGATAGTATAGCTTTGAAAATTTTTTTTGTATTATATTCTTTTTTTCCTTCCCGATTATATTGTACTGTTCCACTTTCATCTTGTAGCTGATGTATCGTTCTTTTGCCTTTTTCTTTTTTTAATTTATAGGCCAACTATCGACCAGTTTTATTCACATTTTCAAAGTAATTTTGTTTCGCCATCCTAATTTTCTGTGCCATTTCTTTTTGTGTTGTCAGGTTAATCTTATGTTTTATAATAGTCCATTTCTCTTTTATCTTTTTGTTTTGTGGATCCTTCTGTAGGTCACATTCTATTTTTTTTAAAGTTCTTCTTGTAATTTTCCTTGTTGAAGTCTCCTATCTTTATTTTTCTTAGAATTGTATGCAATTGTCAATCCCCGAATGTAGGCTTTTGTAGTATCCCACAAATTTTGTGTTGATGTCTCTTCCTTTTTATTTACCTGATAAAATAATGTCAACTCCTTTTCTAGCATCTGTATATATTGTTTATCTTTACACAGTCTTTGATTCATTCTTTTTCTGTTTCTGGCCTTTCCATTTTATTATTATTGGGTTATGATCCGCCCAATCATTAAGTCCTATTTCAATTTCCTCTATCCCATTTTGTACTTCTGTTGTTGCCCAGGCCATATCAATCCTAGACCAAGATCGATGCAGATAGGACGTGTATTGTTTGTCTCACCTGTGTGTCTCTCTCCATATATCCTGAAGGTTGAGTTCTGTTACCATGTCAAAGAACCATTTTGGTAATATATTTTTCTGCTTTTTATTCTTTTTACTACTCTTATAATCTTTCTTAACATCAACGATTTCATTTAAATCCCCAATCATACAAATACTTTCGTAATCCAGATCCATTAGTTTCTTAAATACCTTTTTAAAAAAATCATGTTGATTATTATTTGGTGCATATACTGCCATTAATAAGATTTGTTTTTGCTCTAATTCTATTTCCAACATTAAAATTCTCCCCTCTTCATCCGAATATATTAATTTTGATTTCATTTTTTTCTTTGACATAGATAGCAATTCCTCCTTTCTTGTTTTGTGCTAATGTTGTGTATAGTGTTCCTAATTTTACATTCTCTAGTAGTTTTTTATAATCCTTTTTATATGAACTTCCTGAAGGATGATAGATGTGAGAGTGGGCAAACAGAAACAGAGTGGTTGGATCCAGGAGGAAGGAAACAGCAACTTCGTAAGGCATCAACACAATAAAGTACGCGGGCCCTTTAAGAAATTGATGGAGAGAACGGATGGACCGGTAACCAGATCAAGGAGCCGAGCGCAAAGCCGCTTGGCAGCATAAGAAGGACTCCCAGCAATCTTGCATCATGCTCTGATGATGTCGGTAGTGTTGACCAACAAAAGACTTAGCTTTTAATTAAACAAGTTTTGTTTTTAGTATTATCCTGGTGTTTGGAATATATATACCTCAGAATATAAACCTCAGAAAACAAATATATATATATATATATATATATATATATATGTATGTATGTATGTATGTATGTATGTATGTATGTATATATATATATATATATATATATATATATATATATATATATATGTAGGTCTTTGGTTGTTCGGGTTTTCTCCCGTGTAAAATTGGAAGTGTCTTGGCGACATTTCGACGAAGTTCCATTCGTCATCTTCAGGCTGGTGTTTTCAGCTTCGTGCTTCGAGGAGCAATGTGTGATTGTAGCTGTTTCCTCCTTTTAATTACCAGTGGGGGTGTGAACTGATTGGATGAGGGCTTGGCTGTGCTCTGATTGGCTGGGGGGTTGGCTGTGCTCTGATTGGCTGGGGGAGTGCTTTGTTGTGCTCAGGTTAGTCTGAGTTGCAAGGGGATTTAAAATGGTGAACTGCATTGCTATTTTTTGGCTTCGCGTTCGTGGTCGTGCCTCATCTTCATGGTGGGTGTCAGTTTGCTTCATGTATGGATTGGAGGGGTTTAAAGTGGCTAATGATGCAGCTGTGGTCTGGCTTCTGGTTTGTGGCCGTGCCTCATCATCAGTGTGG